CCCCCCCCCCCCTACTCTTGGTCCCCGCTCTTGGTCCCCGCGGCAGTCGGCGGCCAGACGTCTTGTTAATTCTAAAAGAAATAAAATTATGAAACATATAATTGACAGAGATCTTTTTCATCCTGAACAAAAAACGAGTGCTGACATCAGAGATTGGCCACGGCCTAAAATTCTAATAGAGTTAAGGTATTTCTTTGGATTAGCAAGCTCCTATGGGAAGTTCATAAGAAACTTTTATACCGTATATGCTCCTGTTAGGAAATGTCTAAGACACTTATCTACCATAGCTGCTCCTGTTAGGAAATGCCTTAAGAAAGCGACAGTATGTTTGGTGACAAAGATTGGGAGTCTGCATTCCCTACTCGAAGACCTATGATTCCACCTTCTATCGATGAAGGGTATGAAGTTGAGTGTGGTATAGCACCTGAATTGTTCTCAACTAGAGGAAGAGGTAGACCAGAGTAGTATAAGCCAGATTCAAGCATCAACCCCCTTTTGGTGACAAATGGCTTAGCAGAAAGGAACTGATGTTGACGGCTTCTGATATGGTTGCTGGTTAGGAAAGAGAGTTTCGGGGAATATGAGAAGTCGTAGTGACAATGATATTTATGCAACGGGACCCCAAATCGCGATGGCAGGAGTGCGAAGAACGGAGGTCAAATCAGCATAGAATAAGTGTTAGGATAGATAGGCCTGAGGTCAAGGGTCAAATAAAGGTGCCCAAGGGCTGGCTCTGGAAGTCGAGGGCCCTTGGAAAAGCAACTGTCAGGCCGTACCTGGGTACACAAGTCAAAAAGTCAAAGATTTCTGAAGAGTTGCAGATCACATACAATCCAAACGCTCAGTAAGAGTTTGTGGAAGCTTCCAGAGCTCACCAAGTCGAGGCACCCACTGGCTGCAAGAGCTCCATGGCCATAGAGATTAGGAAATCTCAGCCAATCGAGAAGCCAACATGAGGCAGGCCAGGCCGAGTCAACAGTGCTGAAGTTCGGCCTGCCCCAGCTCGTGCCTTCATTCTGCCTTGCACTGTCTTGAGGCTGAAGTGCTGCTTCTTAACCGCTAGTGTTGGAAGAAGGAAGTCAGGAAAATGACCGAGAGTGAGAGTGAGAGAGACTTGCCATAGCTAGAGTAGACAGTGCACCATAGTTTAGCTTGAGAAAGTGAGATATCCTGTGGCAAGTTGAGTAGATAGTGAGAGACAGGTTTACCTGCCCACACCTGGTGATGTTGCCATGAGTGGAACAAAGGCACTTCGCTACTTAAGGCCGACATACGGTCGACCGGTGTTATTCTACTCTGCACCAGAGTGATGGTGAGTTGGAGAGCGACCTTGCATGTTGGTGAGATGTTGGGGAAAGAAACACTGGCTTCATCATTGCTACAGAGTTTGGTTGATGACTGGAGATGAAGCGAGTGGAGAGGGAAGTAAGTCCCGAGACAAAGAGGTCCGGAAGGCGGGAACAGAATTTGTACCAATTAACTATTATTTGAGTTTTTCTGTCTTGATGCTTGTCTACTTGCCACTTCTTTGCGATTGTCATTTCTTGACAATTGTGAGTTTCATGCATGTGTTGATGATGCGAGCTTCTTGGATTTGGGTTCATTGCAACCTTGCAATCACCACTCACTATTCTAGGGAACCGGTTGTGATCCCAGAAGACATGGATAACAGTGTTGGAATGCTGACAGTGAGTTACATAGACAGTAGATTTGAAATCCTACCAGTGAGTCACATGGATAGCAGATTTGGAATATTAACATCCATCACACGCGTGTCATAGCTACAATTGGGACCTTCTTCAATTTTCTGTTGAACCACACAACGGAAAAAGTAACAACACCCTGACTCATTGATTTGATGATGCGGTCAAAGACCCCCAGCTTGCACGGTGGCAACAAGACCAGCATCATACCTGATGAAAAAACCTCAGAAGGAACTGCCAGCCTTGCTTTCGCTTGAAGATTACGACTGGTATCACGGCCCACGTGTGGCAGGAATGGAATAGGCTTGTCGCTTCCCTGCACAAAAGAGCTTGATAACTTTTCACCGTTTACATCCTTATCAATCCTTTGCTTTGGCATGTTAGCGCCCGTTCCACTCAGCAACACCTGATAGTCACTTATGCTGTGCGATTCACTAGCCATGGCTGCATAATACTCGTAGCTTAACGCTTTGGTTGGGTCCTCAACAGTCTGCGCTGTCAGGTTGCTGAAGTAGGAAAGAGACTGAAGCCACTGCTCAGCATAGTAGACTTGCGTGTGGTCTTTAGTACTGGATATGTTTACGTTTTGCAAATAGTTGTTCGGGTGATGGTCATCAGAAAGCGCCACATCCTGCAGCTCACCTGCCTCATGATCCGGTTCTGCCATCCAAAGAATCTGCTGAATGACTTCCTGTGGAATTCCAGTTTGAGCTTTCTCAATGCGCACATCCATATCAGGACGTGCAGCAACTTCTGGTCCATGATTATTGACACCGGCTGTCATTGTCGACCCTGTCGACCACCAGCCACCAGGCTGCTGAGTTTTCTGACCAAGCACTGGGTGTCCATTCCAGCTTCTTGAAGTCATACTGGGCCTTTTGAAGGAGTCCAGGAATGGATCAATTGATGGAACAAAGAGGGATGCATTTTCACCAAAATGATTACCTGGAGGCATGCTGTACTGTGGTGCAACCATCAAAGAATTTCCTGGACTGAAAGTGTGTTTGTCACTGATGGAAGCGCTCGGAGGCAAAGCAGATGCATCAACTGCGGCTGTGATTACATCTGCAGCAGGCGGCTGCCAGAAGAATTGCAACCATTTCGTTCCACCCCATTGAAAGTATTGCAGGTAAAACAGATGCCACTCATTTGGCCTGCTAACATAGAAGGACCCAGATGAGAGTTCTGGTCCCCGTTTCCTGTCGTCTTCGAGAACTTTCGTGTTGTCAATAAATAGTCTGACTCCATCATCTGACATGATGAAGAACTGCCACACACAGAGGAAAGAGAAATTGCTTAATGTAAAGTCAAACAACGTCCTTAGATAAATTTCTACTGGACAATGATGTCAATTTTGAACGACCTTCAGAACGCACCAAACTGCCACGAGCTCCAAGTTACCCTTATGCAGTATTTCAACCATGAAACAGTAATCCAACCTCCAAAAGGGCGGTCCTTGATGACAGAATCCCCACCTTGTACCAGCAGTGCTCAATCACGAACATGCACTAAAGGAAGAAGGGCTAGTGAAGTTATGTGCAAAGGATAAGTAGCTGAAGGAGGTGGAACCAAGTAGAAGTGAACACCCCTTGTGCAATGTTTCTTCATCCAAGTCAGAAAGTCTTGCAGAAAGACGATGGCGTATCTTTCTTCTTCTTTTTTTTCGACTTCAAGGATTAAAAAATATATATATTATGATTAATTTTTGAAATAGCTAAAATTTCTTCTCATTAAGAGAACGAAAAGAAAAGAAACATGAGCACCGGGTGGTGCTATTTGCACCCAACCAGTGTGGGGTTTGGGCCCGGCGTTCGGGCCCCGCCCGACCACTGGTTCGGGGCCCGCCAAACATACATTCCGGGACCTAAAACGTTTTTTTTTTTTTTTTTTTTTTTTTTTTTTTTTTTTTCCGTGAATTCTCCACCACCTAACCCCCTCCACATTAGAGGACCACATCCGCATGGGAATCCCGAAAAAAAAAAAAAAAAGTCCGGCACTCGACCGAACGCCGGCCAGGGGGGGGCAAACGTTCCGCTGTTCGGGCCGTCTTGTTCGGCCTTCCGGCCGTTCGACCCAACCGTATTTTTATTTACATTTTTCAAAGAGTTCAGCCCTTAGCTTTACTATGTTCACTGTCCATCTGATTCCATCAGGACCTGACCTCGTGTTACATGTACCATGTAGCAACAGGAACTCCGTGGTGTCCCAGCGCAGACCAAAGAATCAGCACACTGGGGAGAGAAAACTATACAATATAGCGAATCAACCACACTGACCCACGGAAACCAGGATTCAACACAAGCAATTAGACAGCAAGGAGGGAAGCATACATGGAAGAAAGACCCCTCCTTGCTAACACACGGTCAGAGAAGTGGTTAACAGAGCCCCAAATTTTCAGGATTTTTTCAGGGTCATTATAACAAACGTCCCACACCTTTTAAGCCAGACTTGTCACCAGTCCATAGAGTGGACACCAAACAAAGTGGGGGTCCCTGTTAACCGCTAGTGAAGGGGAAGGAGAGAAGGCCCAGATGTAACAAACTGCAATGACCCGCACAGAATAAGTCTGAGATTCTGCTGTTTTCTGAGTATTGCTGCTTGACGAACTGATTTGCGGAGATTTCCGTGAACTGTGCAAGTTTGCTGTGTGTGCATGTGTGTTAGTCCCTGTGTGATAAGTGCTATGCAAAGTACTAACCGTGTGCTTGTTCTGTTTTCTGTGTTCCGGGGAGGGTTACAGTTAGAAAAAGGAAACCACGGGGGCAAGACTGGAAATGGGACGGGATGGACTATTTGTAGAGGCCAGGACAGACAGGGATGGAGTAGAGGGCAGGTAGTACCTGGCAACCATTTTCCAGCAGCAAGCGCAGGCCGAACAAAAGTCCCGTAGGCCAGGTAGCTTACCGAAAAGGTCATGAGTAGTGAGGCCCGAATCTAGATATCAAGTAGGCTAGATTCAGGCCCTGGGGTAGACTTACAGGCTGCAATAATGTTCCCGCCAAAAGGCAGGAACTTCAGGTAGGCCTAGCCCCTTGTAGAGGCAGCGGTAGATGCGGTAAGCTGGAGACCACGGTAGGAAGAGTATATCATTCGGACAGAATGAGTGAAGCAGTATCTCACGAGGAGTTATGCTGCTGCTCCGCCCAGAGGGGGAAGTTGGGCGGAGTGCCGGAAGAGTGGAGGAGCTTGAGGGCGAAGTAGATCACATCTTTGGCTATGGAGGAGGAGAAATGGTAGGGAGTAGCTATGGTGGTAGAGGGAGAAGCACCCCATGCCAGAGGAAGGAGAAGGGAAGTAAAAGGGAGTAGGAGATGAGGACGAGGGAGGAGCGGGAGCGACACAGAGAGACTCACCTTGGCTATGGTTGATCTTCATCGTCACTTCCTTGGTTGGCGCTGCATCAAGAAGGCCCCAGTGTGGGTCCTTGTTGATCTTGGACATCTTCCGAGAGTGTGGCTATGGCGGGAAGGGATGGGACTAGCATAGCAGTGTTTGCTTTGTCCTTTGAACATCTGTGATGAGTCTGGATGTTCCGCCATAGCCATAGATGCTACGAAGGAGAGAGAATTGAGGTTAGGGATGAAGGTGGTTTCTTGAGTTGCTGGCAGTAAGGGGGAACACTCGGACATGATTCATGTTCAATCATTCATTTGTTGTTGTATTTAATTGATTAATAATAAGAGGAGGAGTAAAGAAGAAGAAGAGGAATGAGGGAGAAGACATTCGTGTGATTTGAGTCATTCTTCTTCTTCTTTGATTCTCTGTTCTCTACTCTACTCTTTATTTCTCTCCATCTCTTCTTTTGGGTTTCGGCAAGTCTTGCATTTCTCGCGATTCGAGTTTTGTACTACGGATGAAGTAGGATCATAACAATTGGTATCGACTAGACCTTACTTGCTGGATAGGTGTTCGAGCCACCCTAACCCTAATTCCGAGATGGTTAGGGCAACTTAATCCCGGATGAGGGCGTCGTGGGTTGCTTTGCCACTGCTTCATCCCTAATTCCAAGAGGAGTTGAGAAGTTATACCTCGGATTAGGGTTACGAGAGAAAGTATTGGGGTGGTGAGTGACTTTCATACTGCCCTACCCCAATTCCAAGAGGTAATTGATACAAGAATAGGATAGCAAAAAAAAACAAGAGTAGATATCCCATGAACAAAGTCATAGCTTCGTCCTCAGTTTGATGTGAAGTACAAGTTTGCCCGCCGCGGCTACACTCACGGCATACACACAAACACACACACACACACACACACACACACACACACACACACACACATCCTGCTCCCCCTCCTGCTCCTCATCCTGCTGCTCGTCCTCCCCCTCCCGGATGCGTCCCTGCTCAAATCAGTGCCTGAAAAAAAAGGAAAAAAAACATCACCGCCAATTCCTTAATTGATTATCTCCCAAACTTCTACATCAGTTTGTTGCACAGTTTCCTTAATTGATTTTCTCCCAAAATAATGTGTCTGGACATAGTTGCAGTGGGAGGTGTTCTCTTATCCACCCACATGCCTTGATGACACACGTGGATTAAAGGAAACACATGCACCACCCATTCTGGTCTCTCTATCCACATACCACACATCCTGACCTTCTCTCTCTCTCTCTCTCTCTCTCTCTCTCTCTCTCTCTCTCTCTCTCTCTCTCTCTCTCTCTCT